TTATAATTATTCATTGGCGGTTTTTGAAAATCTCCATACGAAAAGTTAACTTTTTTCAAAGTAGGCTATGGAAAGCTTCTCAGTACTTGCAGAAATAGGTAAACCTATCAACGTGTTTGTCTCTATTGGACTATCATGAAATACCTCCTCTACAAAATGAGCACCAGCACGGAACCGTAGCACCTTTCTGAGTGGTAGAACTGATTTGTCAAAAAAAACTGCAATAAAAAATAAAATCTGTGTTATATTGATTACAAATTTATTGTATTGTAACCTATCAGAGAGTATATATTTATCATAGGGTTAGAGGTCAGTGCCGTGCGAATAGAAATTATCAATGCATATAGTAAATTGTTTGATTTTTAGCTGTTTTATTTTAATTATTTAATCATTTGCCCCGATCATGTTCGAAAATTTAATTTGTAACTACTTTAGGGCAAAAAGGAGACAACGTTTATTCTCTTAACGACTAAATAACTTGATAAAAAAAATTAAAAATGATTTCTTACCCTATTTTTTCGCGAATAAAAAATATACGCAGGACATTTTTCCCTTGCCCCACATTCCTGTCCAGCAACACTTTTTAGACATTCGCTTTGCATAATTTATCGACTTACATTGCCCCCTGATACTTAATTTGATTTCCGTCAGACTGTCTGAATTAGCATGGAGTAACAGGATTATTTCCGACAATTGCCTTCTAACATTTTTTCCAGTGGATCAGATCCAATTCATTATGCAGCTTGGTGACGTTATATCGTCCATTTATTTGAATAACTATATTGAGGGTTCATTATGTCGTCAAAATCAATTTAGGTTACTGTATTTTCAATTTTTTATATTGTTACCAAGTCTATCTAAGCTTTTGGAAATGGCTCTACATGAGCAGCTGCACACGTTTGTTTGTCAAAATAATTTACTGACCACCTCCCAATTTGACTTCAGACCATTGCATAGCACCACCAATGCGCTCCTGTCTATATCGGATAATATTTATAGCGCGACTGATCAAAATTTTGGTGGATCTATTTTGAGTCGCCTTTTATTTACTCTTAATACAGGGTGTTCCTTAATGATATGCGAATATCTAAGGGTGTGAATCTACATGGAAAATTAATGTTAGTTTGCTTTATGAACTATGGTCCAAAACTGCTTCCTTACAAAAACTCGGGGTGTTGAGCTTTAGGAAAAAAATGTTAATTAATTAATATTTTCAGAACCGCTAGTGAAAGTTAATAAAGTTGCATATTTTTCAATGCAAAAATAATTTTTAGCTTTAACAGTAGCGTGTGTACGGGAACTGACTTCGATGTTTTTTAAGATAAAAATGGTACGCCAATGGTTTTTTTGCCAAATAAAAATTATTTTTGAATTCCTCGTTCAATTCAAAACAAATGATCTCACCCGAATTGCTTTCCTTTAATGCGCCATTCTTGAGTAAAAGAATAAAAACCGTTCTATTGTCTGACTTGCAAAATACAATTCAATTGGAAAAATTAAACACATTAGGGGTAATGAACAACAACAACTGACAACATAAGCATGACATTAAAACCAACGAAGTGATTACAAAAATTGTTGAAAAAGGCCCCCTTCACTTAGTATGCATGCTTCCGCACTCCTTCTCATGGAATTACGCACTCGTTGAAACATCCCTGGAGTGTTTTTTATTCTATCACAAGTTGCAACTATCCTTTCTCTTAATTCCTCTACAGTGTTAATGGGACTGGTGTACACTACTGTCTTAAGATAGCCCCATAAAAATAAATCTAAACTGTTGAGGTCTGAGGACCTTGGTAGCCATTCTTGGGACCCACCGTGGCCAATCCAACGATTTGGATAAACAGTTTGTAAAAATAATTACGAACCGCTACGCTGAAATGCGCTGGTGCACCATCATGCATGTACCACATATTGTTTCTTATTACTAACGGAACATCATCAAACAGCAAAGGCAACTGTTGTTGAAGAAAATTGAGGTAAGTCTGACCGTCAAGTCGTCCCGGCAAGTATAATGGGCCAATAAAGCGGTTTCCAATAATTCCTGCCCATACGTTAACCGAAAATTGGTGTTGGAAATGGGTTTCGGTTACGGCATAGGGATTTTCTTCTGCCTACAAATGATTGTTGTGGAAATTCTGAATGACATTTCGAGAAAAATTAGCTTCGTCCGTGAACAGAATCATTGATTCAAGTTGCGGATTTTGTGTAATTTTTTGAAGACACCACTGACAAAGGGTCACGCACCTCTGTAAATTAATGGGAAGTAATGCCTGTACTCTTAAAATATGGTATGGACTGCTGCCTCAATTTTAGGTGTTCTCACACTTAGAGGTCTACCTTCAAATGTTCCTTTTCAGACAGAACCAGTTCCAACAAGACGACGATGAATATTAGAAAAGATTCGACTATCTGGCAAAGCACGATCGGGATATCAGTGGTGATAAATCCGTCTGGCTTGCTCAGCATTCCCGTGGGCAAGGCCATATTCTCGTACGTAATGCATTTCCGCCATTTCTGCATTTGAATAATTCACCATTATTAACAAGATTGTAAAAACTAAATAATGAAAAGCGAACAGATTTGAATAACTGAGACTTATCAGATGTTAAAAGCCAGTGACATATTCTAGAGCAACTAGATATTTATTGCTAAATTGCATTCCTTAATTATTACATTAATTTTCTCGGACAATAGAACGGTTTTTATTTTTCTTTACTCAAAAAAATGGTTAGCATCAAAGGAAAACAATTCAAGAGAGATCATTTGTTTTAAATTGAACGGGGAATTCAAAAAAAAATTATTTGGCAAAAAACCATTGGCGTACCATTTTTTTCTGAAAAAATATCGAAGTCAATACCCGTACGCACGTCACTGTTAAAGCTAAAAATTATTTTTGCATTGGAAAATATGCAACTCTATTAACTTTCACTATGTACTAAATATCAGTGAAATATCTGAAGCGGCTCTGAAAATATTTATTAATTTCCATTTTTTTCCTGAAGCTTCAAAACACCCCGACTTTTTTTAAGGAATAATTATTGGACCATAGTTTATAGAGCAAACTAATATTAATTTTTCATGTAGATTCACACCCTTAAATATTCGCATAGCATTAAGGAACACCCTGTATATATGATTTTCACGCCAGCTATAGCCAGAATCGCGAAAGATGACCTTTACGACATAACATAAATTGTACTGAAGTAATCAATGGACGAACGTCAATGATAAAATCACGATGTCAGGAATGATGACAACAAATTTATACTATGATTTTGCGAAGTTAGGTTATGTCACTGATTATTTTTATATTCATTTTATTTCATGGTTTTGAGTAATAATAATCTTAGTGCGGAGTTTTGAAAAAAACAGTTATGATTAGAATACCTTAAGACAGAAACACCAAAAATAACCTAACTACTTATCTTTCAAATATGATCGATCATGCAACATGAAAACATCGCCTATCTTTGTCGGATACATGCATATTAGCAATACAGTTTGTTTAGATAATAAAATTCTGTTTGTCTCTGTCCAGCATATCTGAAACTTCATTAAAAATATTCACAAATCGCTGACGTTTGTCTTTACTACAGACTAAAATAATGACGTAATCGTCATCTTTCGTGATTTCGACTTAATCGTTCATCATTATGCCGATGATACCCAACTTTATTTATAACAGCTTCGATCCTGATGAATATATGCTTGGCTAACATCAAATCAATCAAGATCTGCAGTCTATTTTTGACATATCTAGTGCTCACAATCTAAAACTGAATGCTGGCAAATCTTGCTGCATTTTATTTGGGCCCAAAAAAAATCGTGAAATAAATCAATATCGCATTAATATTACGGTGAATAATGAAGACATATCCTTCGTAAATGAATGCAAAAACCATTGTATCTGGTTTGACTTCAAGCTACGCTTCACTAAACATGTTAACCGACTATGCAATGCGTCCTATGATGTGCTTCGTCAGTTATACCCGAGTCGAAGTGTCCTGTCAACACAGCTCAAGCTTTAACTCTGCGAATCTCTTATCCTGACAAAATTATCTTACGGTGACTCTGTTTATGGACCTGCTCTTATACAACATGATGCCGAGCGGATTCAGACGATACAAAACTCATACATCAGATTTTCTTATGGAATCCGTAAATTTGGTCATATTAGTAGCGCTTTTGACCAATCGAGATGGTTTAAGATAAACAAATTGCGGAAACTGCATTGCCTATCTCTGGTACATAAGTCCCTTCTCCTTAAAGCGCCATATTATCTTTATTCAAAGCTAAACCTCCTCTGTCAGTACGATCAAAGATCTTCTAGGAATAAGCGCATCTACTTATCCCGCGGCATTCGACAGCATTGTTCACACGCAGTTTCTCATACTGGGCACCCAAACTATACTAAGTGACATATAAATCCGAACACCCAGTTTAAATGGTTTTATTTTAATAAAATTTTGTATAAGTACTTAATGAAGCATAATAAGTAAATGATAAAAATTTCAAAATGATTGCACTGCTTTAAAGCCCTTTGGCCTTTAATAATGTGTGGATGCACCCTGATGTGCTACGCATTCTCCAACGCGCCTATGCATGCTTCTGATCAGGTGGTCAATGTCCTCCTGTGGTATCTCATTCCAGGCAACCACCAACTCCTCTCGAAGTGCTTCTAGAGTCTGAGGAGGACGTTGCAAATTGAGCAATCTCCTACCCATCATATCCCACACGTGCTCAATAGGCTATTTGACAGTATTGAAAATAAGTTGCGAATTGTGGTCATCCTATTAGATAGTAGAATAAGAAAACACATAGTACTTTAATGTACACCTAAATATGTATATTTTTTGGGAAATAATCAAATAAAAATCAGCTATTTTTAAAAATTCGATGGGTCACAGAAACGCCCTGCGATTGGCTGCGACTCTGGTGACGTCACATGCATGTAAACAAACATCGCGTTGTACGTTTTTGCTGGCTTTCTGTGATATATTCTATCATAATTCTATTTCATAAACAGATTTTTATTACTTTCTTGATCAATCTTTCAACTATTGACATCATTATTCGTTGTGGACTTCAAAATGGACCTAAATTTTGTGCAAGCTGATAACAGCAATCTACCTAAGGTTGACGCATTAATGGTAGCATTTTTCTTCAAAAATAATGCGGACTACTATGCTGCGGAACTCAAACATGTGAAAACAACAATGTAAGTAGTAATAGAAAGTATTTATTTATACCTACTAACCTTTATGTATGATCATTAAAAGATTTGTAAAATCAATCTTATTTTAGGTTATGTTGATGTAATGAAAAAAGCTTTCAGTTCAATATGATAATATGGTTCATATATGGTTTCATGAATAAAACATACTTTCATGTTTTGCTTTTGTTTTACAGGTCTGGAAGGGAGTCCTACGGAGACGATGCAATTGGCTATGTGCAGCTGCACCGGGAGCATGGACTTTGCACACTTAAGTGCAAAATGTGCCCAGAGCACAAAGTGAGATCAAAAGCTTATAATGTGACAATGGTTATCAACGAAAATGAAAGCGAGATAATAAGTTGTCAGTGCCATGACTGTGCTGCTTCAGCAGGAGGATGCAAGCATGCAGTCGCTTTTTTGATGTGGGTACATCGGCGCAGTGAGGAACCTCCATCTACTTCGGTGGAATGTTATTGGAAAAAGCCAACATTGTCAAGAGTAGGGACTACTCTGAAGTACATCACTGTGCAGCAGATGTCGAAAAAGGAAGTACCACACAGACCAAGTACATCAGCACTTTACACAGACTTTGTTTTGGAAGCCAAAAAAAGAAAACTTCAACACTGCGAATTGATAAAATATCAGGACGATTTTAAACACTCAAATGTTATGCGGTATTCGCTGCACTGTTTCATAATGGACCAACCACCAAAAATTCAAGCAGACGTAGACAATCTTGTAGACATAATGAAGACAACATTCAACAGAGCTGCTATCAGTGCAATTGAAGAAGCAACAAGAATGCAGTACAAGAGCAGCTTGTGGTATGAGATGAGGTATGGCCGTATCACAGCTTCAAAGGCACATGAAGTGAGTGTATGTCATACACCTGATGGTTCATTGGTTGCTACTATAATGGGCGCAAAAATACCAGATACTATTGCAATGAAAAGAGGTAGAAGTTTGGAGCTATCTGTCCGGAAGACAGTTAGTACAACATTGAACAAAAAAATCAGAACATGTGGACTTTATGTATGCCAAGACAATCCCATGCTTGCAGCATCTCCTGATGGTTTATTGAAAGATGCCATTGTTGAAATAAAATGCCCTACCAAAGCAAAAGCTAAGAACAATTATTTAAAAAATGGAATTATTTCAGAGAAATGTAAGGCACAGGTTCAATTACAGATGCATGCAACTGGTATGAAAAAATGTTATTTTTGTGTTGCTGATAGCAACTTTGAAGAAACAAAAAATGTAGATATTATTCTAGTGAAGTACGAAGATGATTATGTCAACAACTTAATAAAAAACTTGTATATTTTTTGGAAAAAAAATATATATCCTATTTTGTATCGTAGCACTAGTCTGTGATTATCAAATAAAAAACTATGCAGTGCATATTTCTTGTTTTATTATCATTTTATTCATGGTTTTACATCATTTATTTCGTTATTTATAGTAGTAGTAGTAGAAGTATTTATTCAGCCAAGTACAAAACACAAAGTTCAAATGGTATGTCACAAAAGAGGAGATTACATGATAATAATTAAGTATAAAGTATCATAACAGGCAAAAACCCATTATTTAATAAGAGAATCTTGCAAATTTATTAGAGCACATGCAATTATAATGACATGATCAAGTACACGACGTATGTTAGTATTTATCACTGAATGTTGCTTTAAAATATGAAATTCTCTCAAACGCCTTATTACCCTTTCAATATGAATCCGCAAACTAGCTATTATTTTAGTTTGTCGAACTTCAGTTTTTGACAACTTTGCACCAGCATTTACACTGGGTGGCCTTAATAGTTTTAGTCCCTTTTCATGAAGTATTTGTTCAAGGTGTTTGAAGCCTCTGTCAGCTAAGCAACAGGATCCTTGGGGTAATCCATCTAGAAAGTTACAATTTTCTACTATTGTGGCATCGCTGGTTCTGCCCCCAAACCCATGCGAAACATAATTAACTAAACCATTAGGTGTGCAGGATACTAAATACTTCACAGTATTCCCCTTTTTGTACTCTGACCACGTCAATGACTGATGAAGAGCCTTTGATGGTTTTTGTATATCAATCTCTAAACAATCTATGATGCAACTGACATTATGATAGTTATGTCTAAATGAAATAGGAAGATTTTTTTTTACCAATTTTTTATCTATATTTACAATGAATGGTCTTAAAACACTAGCTATTATTGGTATATTTTGTAGAAACAATTTACTAGCATAAGATAATGATATTCCAAAATTATCCTCCAGTTCAGAAAATGTACTGTTCATTCTAATCTTTTTCAAGCATAGCAAAATGTGTTCTACTTTTATGCTTGTGTGTTTATGTAACAATTTGATTAAGAAATAACATTCTTTTGGAATACCAACATACATCATTGGTTTTTTAGAGATTGAACGCATAGTAATTTTGAGGCACTCTAATTTTTCAATATTCTCATTGGCATCTGTAACATTACTATCAGAGTCGGTAAGCCCTGATGATGATGATGCTGATTTAGTTACAAAAGGTGATAAATATCGACCACTTTCAATACAGGAAATATCACTATCTGACTTTTCATCTTCAAGAAAAACATTTCTCTTGACTGCTTTGACAATTTCAGACTGTGATGGTCGAAGACTGCATGGTTTAATCTTAAAGGGCGAAGTGGAACGAGATGTTGTAGAAACTTTCATTGGTGAGGTAGAAATACTTGTAGTCTGGCATCTTGTTTGCACAGATTTGCTCCTATGATGCACATTCTCTTTTATTGTTACTTGCACAGATTTTTCTGCAGTTATGATAGAGTTGGTAATAGTTTCTCTGTCTTGAGTTCTTGATAAATCTGAAAGAACAAAGACTCAAAATTAATGTCTTAATTTCAACGTAAATGATTATGTTAAGGCACTATGAAAAGTTGTCTACTACTTCCTACTACCATTATCACTGAAGAAAAAGTGCAGTGCTGGATAAGGGGTAGTGAATCACAACATCAACAGCTTGAGAGAAAATTACCCATTACCTGAAGTACAAGTTGAGCATTCTTGATCACCTAGCAAGTAAAATGTCCCACTAAAATGACCTATCACTTTGAATATATCAATTTTAAACCATAAATATTATTCTGTGAAAATCTCAATGTGCTACAAATATGTTATTCAGTTCTGCCCTTTTTATTCAGAAATAATGGAAGAAGTAGTAGACAAGTTTTTATAAGGCCTCAAATAGGTTACAAAAATGTCTATCAGCTCTTAGACTATAATTTATGATAGGACACATGTAATAGATTACATACCTTGAGGTTCAATAATGTCTTGTATCAAACTCTCATCTTTTTGTAAGCTTTCAGATTGGGCTTCAGTAGCATTTTGACTTTGCAAACATGTGTTGACCAAATCCATTCTTTTCCTCTTGACATATGCTCCTCGAGAAAGTCCAGCATCAGACAGTGGTCTTTTACGATCTTCTTGACAATGAAATTTTGTTGGCACAGCATCTTCTGTCAAAAGTATCTTCTTGCTGAAACCCATTTTGTACTGCATGTAGTTAATGGTGTCTTTTTCCATCTGCAATTCAACATAACTATCACTATCTAATAAGCAAAGTAGGTAAAATGACACAGCATAGAAAATTATTGAGATATGTAGGTAGCTAATATAATCAAAACAACAGAAAACATTTTGAAACCCTACAGAGTAATAAGTTTAGGGTTAATAAACAGGATCTTTGATCCTCAACACTGACTTATCCTCAACATAACCAAAGATACATTTGAGGTTATAGATAGTTATATATTATTTCAATCTTAAAAAAAGCGGTAATTTAAGCTACCTAGTAGATAACATATTCAATTTATACTTACATCGAAGTGATCTTCACACATAAATACATTTGAAGTCGATGAAATGCCCTTTGGGTCTCTCCGAGCTAATAGTAACCACTTTTTTCGTCTTTTACAAGTTGGAACAGAAACAAACAATGTTTGTGGACTATTTATAGACGTATTCGTACATTTTGGCACTACACACCATTTATAGACCATTTTATCTATGATTTTATAGCAAAATCAAGCACAATAATGAAATTAACTTCGGCTGACAGCTCGTGATCGTGTTTAATGGCGTGTGACGTCACAGACGTCATCTGCCGGCGCCATCACAGGAATAGCGTTTTTGGCGCGGTTCTAAAAATTCAAACTTTAAATTTGATTTCTATTAAAAATAGTATAGATTTTCAGGAAATATTCATGTAGTGTGCTCATTATATATAAAAGAATAATTTAAAATGATTTTGCAAAATTAGTCAAATAGCCTATTGGGGATAAGTCGGGAGATCTTGGTGGCCATGGTAACAATGTGACATCATTATGTTGAAAGAAGTCTATTGTGACTCTTGCAACATGTGGTCGGGCATTATCTTGTTGGAAAGTTGGATCTGCCAGGGTGTCAAGATAGGGTAAAAGATGGGGTTCTAGAACTTCGTGGATATAACGCTGCGCGTTCATGTTACCTCTGATGAAGATTAAAGGTGACCTGGAACCATAAGCTATAGCACCCCAAACCATAACTCCAACAGTGTGATGAACATGTCTTTCAACAAAAAACTGTGGATTCCTCCTTTCACCACGTCGTCTTCTAACCCTGGCACGACCATCGTGCATGCCTAAACAAAATCGAGACTCGTCACTAAAGACAATACTGTTCCATTCCTGATCCCAGAGTGACCGTTGTCTGCACCACTCAAGGCGATTATGTTGGTGTTCTCGAGTTAAAGGGAGGACCCAGTGTGGCCGATATGAAAACAAGCCAAAACTTCTCATTCGTCGGTAAACACTTCGCATGCCAATAGGTCTTCCGTGTTCTGCAAACCATTCATTTGCAATGGACCTGGTAGTGGAGAAACGGTCCCTTAAGGCAAATAATCTTAGGCGGCGATCTTCACGGTCTGTTGTTCTACGGCGGCGTCCAGTGCCCCTTGCTCTTTGCGTACGGCCTTCTCGAAGCCATGCCTGACAACACCTAACCGCAGTGTCTACACTTCTTTGCACTCTAACTGCAATTGCCCGAAAAGAAAGTCCAGCTTCCCGAAGTCCCACTATACGGCCCCTATCAAACTCACTAAGTTGACGAAATCGTACAGGTCTCCGTACTCTAGGCATCGTAACCGATCGTAAAGGATGTCAAGAACCAAAATCCGCCAACGTTGATTCTTTACTGCGGCTGAAATATTCATTTTTATAGCGTTAGTGAATTAAAAAAAAGCAGTATAAAAACCGGAATGTCCAACTGATAAGGCTGAAAAATTTTTCACTTGTTATTTACAGTAAGATAAATACATTCACCAACTTTTATTAAAATAAAACCATTTAAACTGGGTGTTCGGATTTATATGTCACTTAGTATATATAACTGCTTGTCAAGTGATTATAAAGAATATAGCCTAAGCGATTTTAAAATAAGGTTAAAGATGAGTTTAAACCAGTCGGATGGCTAGAATTTAACTTACGCATATCCACAGGTAATTGATTAATTCCTTTTTCGGGGAAGTGTAATATTTTAAGCTTTTCTCTTTTTGGTGGTCAATGGTGTGAACTGTGCTGTTTAAATGTAGGTACTTTTTTTTCTCTGTATAGTTTGTGTCAACGTTTTTTAGGTCGCATTGAAAAACAGCATAAGTTGACACTCCACCTTTTCGTCACTATTCCTTTTAAGCCAATTATTTTGTAATCATGTAACGAATAAAGGCCATGTAGTATTATTATTATTATTATTATTATTATTTTATTTTTGTCATTAACATTTAAAAAATATATTGCGAATGTCTATAAAGCTAGACGCTCTCCAAACCAACATTGTTCATAAATATTTCATAAAAGTTCCTAACGCTGTAAAATTTGCATAGGAATAGCAATTCGTTCATATCGAGCATTCACAGCAATGTGCATAGCTAGCGTGACATACAGAGGCTGAATACAGTATACTGTGTAATCTATTGAGGCGTAGCTATTTTTTCATTTTCCGACACATTCATATCCTAATCGTGACGCCGCAGGATGTCTATTTATTAGAATTTGCCCGACTGTTGGAAAACAAATCTGACACTACGCTTTTTGCTTTGGTAACACTGAACTGGGTTCGATATTAGGTCGGACTGCACACATGTGTGATTTAATTTCGAATAGTTCAAATGATTTGGTCACGGATGTAAAGGCTGTCTCCATTTAACAGTTTTAATAAACCTGATTTTACTTACTACGCCACTGGACGAGGATGTATCGTAATCGTTAAAAAAATCGGAAACAAAGTATTGTGTTTATTGAAAGTTATACACATAATGACATGTATATGATGAAAAACCATTTCCGATGGTCTGTCGGTCGGTCCGTCTGTCTGTCTGTAAAGCGTTGTTCGGATTTTGATGACACAAAGTTTCTACTATGCCAAGGACGAAATGCTTTGTAGTTTTTGAAAATCCGGTGGCAGCGGAGAAATAAGTGAAAAACGAAAAAAATAAAATTCGCTTAAGCTTCATCTTTTGACGTTTCAGAAGTTCCTGATCATTTTCAGAAAAAAGTTTGTAGGACTTGAAATTTGGGGGTTAGGGATGGAGGAGCGTAAGTGAAAATTTTGCCGATCTTTGTATACTTATACGCTCGCAACCTCGATAATTCCATGCACCTTTAAGTAATATTCAAATTCAAAACTTGATAGATGATAGAGAAATGTTATCAATCGATGATAGAGTTAATGTTATCGATCCACGTAAATTATGGAACCAGCCCATTTACTTCTGCTGTCCTAATACATAGCGGTATTCCAAATCGGTAATGCCCCATTATTGTAAACGTAGTAACAGCCAGCAGTATCTCCGCTTGGGAAAATACTACTGTTTCAGTTTAATGTTTTATGTATTGACAAAGCAATTTTTTGTAATCTCTTCTTTTACACACACTCAAAATATTTTGTTAGAAATAAGTATAAATAAGGTCATTTTGCAGCCATTGAATTCATTCATTATCCACGTTCTGTACAATTCTGTAACCAGTCTCTTCAAGAAAGTTTAGATTTTGGTGAAAACTACGACGAGATATTTAATTGGCGCTGCGAACAGGATAGCCAAGCCTTTGAAGATTCCATCAAGAGGCCTGACTTTGGGTGACCCACTTTTACAAAAATCAGCAAGATTCATTAGGGTCCTCGCCTATTCGTCCGCCAACTTGCTAAGAAGGTAAAAAGTCTCTACTTTTTCTACGTTGACTATCCGAATCCTGAGTGTGGCCGGTAAGACCACGCAACGTCGTAGAAACCCCTGAAAACAAGTTGAAGAAGTTATAGAATCGAACGAGTGATGAATCCCTGGGCAAACCTTCTGATGTTCCTGCCTTTGTAAGTAATTTTAAGCAACAGTGAAGTTTTGATGCCTATTGAAAAACGTTTCACTCCGAAACCATATCCAAAAGTAACTAGTAGAAATATTTTGATGAATCCAGAAGCAACCACGATGTCTAATCCTACAAACACATCTACTGCTCAACATCAAGAATTCAAGTTATTGGAATTAACATTTAAAGCTTTACAACATAGATTACCAAAATTTTCACCTAGTAGTAAGAATTTATCTAGTTTCCTACGAGATAGCGAACAATTTATTAATAAGTTCACAGGTACTGTTTTTGAGTCGTTATCTATAGAATTAATTGTTTCTAACGTATTGGATGAAGCACATGAAAAGATACGATTAAGAAATGGCACTATTTGGACTGATATTAAAGATATTTTAATAACAAATTATAGAAATACTAAATCTGAAAACATCCTAATAACTGATCTAAATGCCTTAAAACAGAAAGACAACGAAACTTACCGAGATTTTTACTAACGAATTTTACTCTCGTTAAGAGATTTACACGACTTCGCTTGTACAACTTTTGCCGATCATAATGTTCAACTTTCTCGTTTAACGCAATACGAGGATTTTGGATTAAAATCTTTCATACACGGAGTCAAACTGCCTTATTCAGAACGCCTTAAAAATAAAAGTCCTACAACCCTACAAAGCGCACTTTCTATATGCGAGGAAGAAGATAATTCCATAATGCAATCCAAATACAAAGAACAAACTAGTAGATCATGTTCGCAAACGCTGTTCAAGTCTCATTTTACTACACCACAGAGAAACCAACAAGTTTTTCGTCCCCAATTTAATAACAATTTCAGGCCAAGACAACCATTCCAATTCAATCCATTTAACAGATATTCAGGACAATCTCAGAATCAATTTCGAACTAATAACCATTTTAGACCATTTAATCCAAATACTCAATATCGAGTGCAAAATAATTTCCAAATACCTAGAAATAATTCTAACCAATCAACACCGATGTCTACTTCTACTATAAAATCTAATCGACCATTTCACAGACCCAATTTCTTTTCAAATAACAGACAACCACCAAGTGTTGCTGTACAAGGATTAACTAACGTAGAAAATCCACAGATTGAGAATCAAACTGAACAACCTTATGAAGAAAATCATGAAAACAACGAGCAGTCGTACGATCCTTCTTTTTAGAAATGGAACCAACGAGTACAAACTCGACTTAAATAATTACAACGAAGAAAATCATTTACCTTATATTTACAATCCTAATTTGAACCTAATAATTCTAATCGATACTGGAGCCTCCGCTTCGTTTATAAACTCACAAATAGCTTTTGAACATTTTGAAATTTCACTATCAAAACTGCTATTGATACTAAAATAGGAGAATATGCTTGTAAAATTCCAATTTTCAATAATTTAGGTTTTGCTATAGAAACCGAGTTTCTAATCATTGACTGGCACCACAATTATGATTGTCTGCTAGTATATCACGACTTGCGAAAATATAGAAGCAACTTTGATCTAGGAAAAAATATACTTCCAATCCAATCATTTAAAATAATTTGCCACAGCCATAAAGACCCCATGCGAATTCCTAACGATACTTTTAATACATGTCAGATTGATACTAATCATAATTCTGTAATAATTTCTACTCCATACGATGAACCTTCATATATTTGTCCAATTATTAATAATAAACTAATGCTACCTAACGAAATTTCGACATACGATGTTAATACCTTACAAATTGAACCCATGGACAACTACGACATTACTAAATTACCAATTGAACACTCAGAATACTACAAAATCTCTGAGCTTATTCGTACAGACCACATGAATGAGGAAGAAAAATACAAAATTATAAGACTCTGTCAAAATCACATGTATCCGTTCTTAAAACCTAATGAAAGATTAGAACCTTGTAAAATAACTACTCACAATATTAGAACTACACATAACGACCCAATCTTTGTTAAATCGTTTCGTTACACATACCGTTTAAAGCAAGAAATCCAAAAACAAATCAGTAAACTTTTAGAAGATGATATAATTCAACCTAGTATTTCGCCATACAGTTCACCTGTCTGGATAGTACCAAACAAGTTAGACGCTTCAGGCACCAAAAACTACCGAATGGTTATCGATTATCGAAAATTAAACGACATTACTATTGAGGATAAATACCCATTACCGCGTACCGAAGAAATCCTAGAGAACTTAGGAAAAGCAAAATACTTTTCGACACTGGACTTAGCGCAAGGATTTCACCAAATATCTATGGATCCTCAATCCATAGAAAAGACAGCATTCACCGTTGAAAATGGTCATTATGAATACATACGCATGCCTTTCGGATTAAAAAACGCACCAGCTACTTTCCAACGGATGATGAATTCTGTATTACTCCCAGATAGGAAAATTTTGTTTTGTCTACCTTGACGATATTATAATATTCTCAAAATCTCTCCAAGAACATTTAATTCACTTAAAAACCATATTTGAAACACTAGGAAAGAATCATTTGAAAATCCAGCTCGATAAAACTGAATTCCTACGAAAAGACGTTCCATTTCTAGGACACATAATTACACCCCAAGGTATTAAACCAAATCCTGACAAAATCAAAGCTATTGAAAACTATCCTTTACCTAAAACCGTGAAACAAATTCAATCATTCCTAGGACTTGCTAACTACTATCGATAATTCATTAAAGATTTTGCCTATATAACTAAACCATTAACAAAATGTTTGAGGAAAAATGAAAAGATTCCATTTGATTCGCATGAATACCTAACTGCATTTCATTCACTGAAACGAATTTTAACAAATCCACCAATCTTAATCTACCCAGACTTTAAAAAGCCTTTCACCTTGACTACCGACGCTTCAAATGTCGCTATCGGCTCTGTTTTATCGCAAGATGGAAAACCAATTGCATTTCATTCTCGTACCTTAAATACTGCCGAACGAAACTACTCTACGATCGAAAAGGAACTATTATCTATAATCGACTCTTGCAAAAACTTTAGACCATATTTATTTGGAAATCAATTTACTATTGAAACTGATCATAAACCATTGGTATGGCTTTCAAACTTAAAGGAACCAAATCAACGCCTAATTCGATGGAAAGTAAAGTTAGAAGAATATGACTATAAAATCGTGTACAAAAAAAGGAAAATTCTGTAGCCGACGCTTTAAGCCGTGTTGAAATAAATATTCATCATCACGACTATTCCGAATCTATGAATCCAAATATATCCGGTACTAATTTTACGATTCAAGAAACCGATGCTAGATCGACAAATACTAGACATACTGCACCTGAATCGCACCCAAATGTTATACAAATTTCTGAACACAAAAGTTTATATTCTTATTCACATAATATTATATTTACTATTGAAACCAAAAATAATATCACAAAACACAAAAACAAGTTAACCTGTAGCATAACAGATTTCCAACAACATCAATACGTTTACAATTTTATCAAAAACTACTGCAAACCAGGTATAAAATATGGAATTTGGTACGAAAATCAAAATTTTCTGTCATTCCAAAAAGTAAAAAAATTATTCGTAACATTATTAACAAATGCGAAACTTGCCTAAAGAACAAATATGAACGAAAACCAATCGTACAACCCATTCATGGACCCTTCTTTTCGTCGCGTCCATTTCAGTTAGTATTTATAGATGTATTTACTATCGAAGGAATCAAATACTTAACGTTCCTCGATCATTTCTCTAAATATGCTCAAGCTTATTGACTAACTTCTAGAAATCACGTAGACGTTTTAAATAAAATGAAACATTATTTTTCACACCATAGTAATCCAACGTATATTCACGCCGATCCTGGAGAATTGCGAGCTCAATTAATAATTGACTATTGCAAAAACCATAATATTGAATTACACTTAGGAAGTACAGCTAATCCAACTAGCATTGCCCCAATTGAACGTTTTCATTCTACATTAGGAGAAAAATTTAGAAACCTTCGAACTGATCGATCCACCGACTCAACTGACGACATAATTCTAGACTGTATTTTAATTTATAATCAATCCATACATTCGACTACGTAAAAGACACCTTTTGATTTATTATATGGGATCAAAGAACCCATACAAATTCATAATGAAATCCAACAAAAACAAGATGAACAAAACAAAGACTTAGCAAATCAAATTTACGAAAAATCATTACAAACTATTGAAAAACGAAATAAACAGCTAAAAATATCAAGAATACCAATACTAAAAGGCTCCATTTATATGACGCCCCAAGACTCTTCACGACGACCGAAACATAAGCAAAAATACTCAAAACTAAGAAACTATAAGCAAAATGATTCTAAAATCCTAGTTAAAGATAGAACTCATATGATTAAGAAAGTAAAACCACCTTGTTTTCAGATGCCAGAGTCTGATCATGAAGAACCCAGTCAATCTGCACCCAACACTTAAAATATCTAAAGGTCAGAGTAGAAATATTGATTTCTATCATAAGAGCTACTTTTTCATTAGTATTAGTGATTTAGCAAATACGATGTTTCACGATATTATCAACGTTCAATCTTCCAAACCTAATGAATTAAATAATCAAATAGACCAAACTTTTACCTAAGTAAACACGAAATACGAAACCTTGACCAAATCTCGACATTCTGCACCAGTCTCTTCAATAAAGTTTAGATTTTGGTGAAAACTACGACGAGATATTTAATTCGTACTCCTGCTATCTAAGCTCACCGCCCGGCGAACTGGTCCGGCTGACCAATATAACCGCACTGCGGCATGAAAAACATATGCACGTATACGTATCATGCACGAAATAAACGATGACTCCCTGCAGAGTTGCGGAGCGCTGCCGTGCAGATGTGGAAAAGTACATTGTTGCCAGTAGAACAGTAAATCAGTAGGGTAGGGAAAATATCTATGAACTGATTGCATGGGCCTGACTATCTTAATTCGTTTAATTTATCTGATATACATGTTGGTAACTGACCTTCTCAGAGGATTTCAGTTGCTCTGAACTCAATCATGTATAAACTGAAGAGGGCGTTGCGTAGTCAACCTACTTGACGCAATTTTTTATAGCACTAGATGAAAGGATATGACAAAAGTGCACCTGATGATTCTCCTCTATAGATCGTCCTTGAATATATGGACAACACGCCTGATTCATCCAGAGATACAAAAAGAAGTCATATTAGAAAGTGTAGACCTTATGGAATTTTGTTTGAATAACTTTTGATCTGCACCCTAACACAAATATATTGCATTGATAACAGCTCAAATATATTCATGGAAAGTCTGATCCTCAGTTAAGAAAATGTACTCTGAAATTGATATATCCTACGACAAATTGAACCCTTCTCAACTTTTTTGCGTGACCTTTTAGAAAAAAAAGTTATATACAAAAGTTTTAGGGCCTAATATAGAGAGTTTTATGCAATATCTGTCTTATATACAGTGCTATTGGAATAAGCTGTTTCTTTTAAACGTATATTCTTAGTAAAAGCAATAATCGCCTGTTTTCTAATACTGAATATGTATAGCTTATTATGCTTATTTTCATTGCTTTATTAAAAAAATTGAATTACGTGTCATTTAATCATATGTATCCGGCACTGTACCATATTGTATAGTTGGCTAGGGACAACAAATCCGAATCAAGTCGATCACACTAAGCAAACGAGTGTCGAAATTCACACACACACACACACACATACCCTCCTACCCTGTGCGGTCCCTCCTCCACCCCTGTTCCAGGCCACCTCAAACCCTTGAGGAGTGGGGGGAAGAGAAATCTGCTCCTCCCTCCTCTCCCGCCCGAAGGCCTGGCGTGGCGCTGCGTGGTTCAGGCCGTTGAGCATTCCTCGAGTGTGTGCTGCCGACCGAGCTACCCCCCTCCCAATTTTGCCCCTTTTTCCTGAAATTTGACTCGATCGCGCACGCGTCGCGGAAGCACGTGGTGGAAGTTTCATCCAACTGTCGGTTCTCGACTTTTATGGTTGGCGTCTTTCTTGGGGGTCCTGCGCTTGGGGCTTTGACCTAAGCCTCGCATTAAGGTTGGTGAGCCTTCGCTCTTTCCTCGTTGACTGGAGTCAGTCAGTCGGTCGTCAGTCAGTCATTTGCTGTTCGTCTTCGTCTCCTGAGGTTAGCCCCGAGTCCGTGCTTGACTCTGGCCACCTCAATCGACAGGCTTCTTTTTGTCCACCCGTTGTACACGGGCTGTTCTTTCCCCTCTTGGGTGTACAACTATTGTCGCAGCACCATCTGAAACATGATGGTCTTATTCTTTAAGGACACTTTGCTTCTTCTGCCTATTAAAGGTCTCAGTTTTAAGCGTGCCATCTTCACTTTTTGCACCTGGCCCTCGACAAGGTTCTTCCAAGTGAGTTTTTGGTCCATCTTGACTCCAAGGTACGTGCTGGAGTCCTTCCAATCGACCTCAACTTCTTCGTCTCTTCTCCAGCCTCTCTCCATTCTGGTGGTCGTCATCTTTATTTTGGTTTCAGGTAATCTTCGATTTCTTCGGAACAGTACCGCTTCGGTCTTCTCAGGGTTGAGACGGATCTTGCGGGGTCTGGTACTTTCTGCCGCATATGCTGTATCGTCCGCATACACATACAGTTGCGTTTGTGGAGTCTTCGGGATGTCTGAACTGTAGATTGCATACAGCAGGGGTGATAAAACCGCTCCCTGTGGTACTCCTGCCTCCACAGTCCTCTTCATCGAAGTTGCTTTACCAATCCTAATTCGGAATTTACGACGCTTCAAATAGGACTTCACCAGTTGGATCATCCCCGTTGAGTATCCGAGGTCTACCATCTTGTAGATCAGTCCGTCATGCCAAACAGTGTCGAACGCCTTAGCGGCATCCATGAACACAGCTCCCACGGCCCGCCGAGTCTGGAACGATTTCATTGCCATCTTAACCAGCCTTAGGACCTGGTGCTCTGCTGAATGTTCGCTTCGGAATCCGAACTGTTCGTCTGGAACTACTCGGAGTTCTTCAGTTTCGTTCCTCAGTCTTCGTTCGATTACCCTTTCCGCAATCTTGCTCAGTGCCGTCAACAGGCTTATAGGTCTGTAGTCTTGGGGGAACCTTGGGTCTTTCCCAGGTTCTGGTATATTGATCACTTCGGCCACTTTCCAGTGTTCTGGAAAGTATCGGTCTCTCAGTATGGCGTTGACAATGTTGGTGATTGCCATTATCGCTTTCCTGGGGAGTCTCTTCAAGACTCTGTTCCCAATTTCGTCTACACCCGGTGCTTTCTTCACCTTGAGTCTTCCAATTATTTCCCTTACCTCGCCTGGAGAGGTCATGTCCTCAATGGCTCTTCCTCCTCTTACAGCTCTCCTCGATCTTCTTATCACCTCGTCGATGAAGTCTTCGTCTTCATCGGGGTGAGTATTGAGAGTACACTGTCTCTGAAGGTTTTCAGCCAAAGCTTCTGCCTTCTCTTCGGTTGTGTACACCATCCCCTGTTCGCTGTGTATTGGAGGGATGGGCTGTGTTCTGTTTCTGAGGATTTTAGCCAAATTCCTGGATCAGCTGGAGATAATTCTTCGAGTTTCTTATCCCAGGTGCTCTGATGATGCTGCTTCAAGGCGTCTCTTGCCTGTCTTGTCAGTCTGTTTGCCACCATGATGTCCGTGGGGCTTCTGGTCTCCTGGGCTACTCTTCGGGCTCTATTTATTTTGGTGGTCTTGCGATTTACCTCGTCAGGTAGGTCCCTGAACCTGTTTGGTTTCGTGATGTCTTCCACGGTGGTTGCGGCTTCTAACGCAGCCTTAATCTTCCTTTCTAGTTCCGTGACCGCTTCCTCTATGTCTTCAGGGCTTTCAATCTGAAGTAGTGGTCCTAGTGAATAGTGTAGTCTGATTCTAAATCGCTGCCAATCCACTCTCTTCACTGTTCTTTGCTCCACAGGTGTTCTCCCATCTCCCAAATGAAGAAAGGTGGGGTTGTGGTCTGGGCTTCCCTCTTGCAAGGCGCCGATGGTCGTGCGCAGGTCGATTTCTTTCAGAATCGCCATATCTATGACGTCTGGTCTACCTCCGTTGCTGGGGTATATTGTGGGTTCGTCAGGACCTATCATGGTGTATCCAGGTTCATCCATTAGTCTTTCGAGAACAGTGCCATGACTGTTTCTATTTCTTGAGCCCCAAATGGTGGACTTCGCATTTAGATCACGTACGATCACGGTACTATTTACCAGTGCAGTGATACAGGTGACATCTTCCAGTTGAATCGTCGATGTAGGTGGTACGTATATCGATACGATGTTCAGAGGGCCATGGTCGGTTGTGCGTACCGTCACTCCTACGGCGTCTGCAGATCTCAGTTCTGGCAGTCCCAGTTCCCAGTGGGTAATGCTGGTCCTGACAGCAAGCAGCTCCCCACCTCCGGTTCTGTTCCGGTCCTTTCTATATGTAGTGTATCCCTGTATTGTCCAGTGTGGGATTTCCCCAGAGATCCACGTTTCTTGTAGTGCCATTACATCATAGTTCCCTCTTGTTAGGACTTCGCCTATCTCATATTTCTTGTTGGAAACGCTGTGAACGTTCCAACTCAATATCTTCAGGCCGCTATTAGCAATGGTTATTGGAGTGCCCATTTGGAGTTTCGGTCAGTGCTATCCTTTTTAGGCGTATTTTTGCTGCAGATGAGCGAAATACGCTTTCTTGGCAGCTGAGTTTTTCATCACCAGCGACATCATTTGAGATGCGTACTTGGTGGCAAAGTCATGTTAGAATGATTTATATACGTTCGGATCATTTTTCATCACTAAACGTATTTTCGTGTCAAATTAAATCAGCACAGAGACCTACTTTGATGAGTATCTAGCAAGAGATTCATCAATCTTCATACTTGCTTAATGAAGATCTAGAGAGACTGTCAAGGATGATTAATCTCCATATCAAGTAGAAAAAAGTTATTCCCACAAGAAAAATCAATGGTCTTCAAGTGACAAGGTCAGTGTTAAAAGTACAATATCCTAGAATATAGAGGATGGGTCACTGATCACCACTTACAACAAGATAGGGATGGTAGTTTGAGTCCATAATCATAGCTAAGAAAAACTTTGAACCAGAACAGATTTAATAATAGTGGATTTTCCTATGAAGTGATGCAATATTTTTTTATCCTTATTAAATCAAACCCTTCGATTTACAGAAAACGTTTGCGATGTGACAATCGTTTCCTATTTTTCTACAGCTAGTTGTGAAACATTCATCGTTACTCTGTTCAGGGATTTACTTAATTTCAAAAATGTTTCGCTCCCTGGCATAGTGAATG